GCCTCAATGATTTGGGATCGAGGGGGATTATCCCTCTTTATCCTGCCTCATCTCGTGTAGGCCTGAACAGCCTTCGTAGGTGGGCCCCATCCGTCGTCTACCCCGACCGCAAATGCGGCCGGTGTAGGCGCTTTGTGGGACCTCTTTTTGTCCTGGCTGGTGATGTCATATTTATGTGTGGTATGGTTGGATAAGGCAGTGCGGCTATGCAGCCTGGCGATGCGCTTTGCTAAGGTGGCCCTTAGGCTAGCGCGGGAGGGGAGGGGTAAGGAGGGTATGGGGGTGCGTATGTGTGTGTGTGTGTCGTTGTCTTCGTTTCTTGATCCTGGCTGTCTCTGAAACAGAAAAGGTTAGCGGCAGGGGGGCGGTGTCGTTGGGGGGGTCACCCAGGGTCAAGAAGTTGGTGTCTAGGTCTTTTGTGTTTGTCGGCTTGCCTGAGGAGGGGATTGTCATGTCTAGCGGCTACGTCAAACCGTTTCTCCGCGTTTTGTCTTATTGTCTGTGTAGCGTTTGTGTATTGTAAGTCTCGTAATATGTCAGTGTTTCTTACGTACCAGGGCGCGTCGGTGGCCGTGCGGAGGGCTATGTTTTCCACAGCCTGTAATGACTTTAAGTGGCTTTTTGCCGCGTGACCCCACGCCGTGGAGGCGTAGGTTAGCTGCGGTTGAAGTACCACCTTGATAAGCGTTCGCTTATTCCTTAAACTGAGGGTGTTTCCACCTTGGAGTAAGGGATAGAGCCTAGCCCTGGTGGTCTTCGCTCGCGCCACCGTCTCTACGATGTGCGCTTTCCACGTCCAGTTAAGAGCGAACAGCCGAGCTGAGCGGACGTGTTTGTTTGTGAGGTGAAGTGCATTGCAACGAGCAAGATCGACCTGCCTTTATTAAGGCTACCTGTAAAGAATCCCTTTCCTTTTAATAACCGACCCAAACCCCGGCTTAAGCATAGACGCCGTCGGCATCTTTGTTACAGGTACCTGTGCCTTGGTATGCCCAGGTAAGTTTTTACTTATTTATCAGTTATTTTCATTACTTTAAAATACATTTCTTTCAAATTGCGACCCCAGACAAACAATATACCAGACAGACAAATACACCAAAAGACACGTACGCCCCCGTAAGGGGGCATCCCCACACGACTAACACTTACACACCCACCCACCCACACACACACACACACACACACACACGCGCACAATGTCGGACTCCGAAAACGAGGAGAACATATACATATACATGGACGATACAGACAGCGAAAGACCCTCTTCAAGAGTCTCCGCTTCACCAAAAAACATGACCACCACAACAGATTTATACGAACAGTTACAAACACAAAAACATGAAAACGAGACGCTAAAACAACAAATACACGAACTGACAGAACAAAACACCCGACAATACCAACAAATACTAACCATGACACAGCAAATCGTCGATTTGCAAAAAACAATTAAACTTTCGGACGAAAACACCACTAAATTACACCAAAAACTTGACAAACTCATTAACAAACAAATGACAGACAATATACCCCAGACAGGCACACACACACCCCCCCCACACACACACCCCGCACACACACGGACAGAGAAACGCAAAAAACACACGGCAGAATCCTCTAGCGAGGACGAAGCCCCAAGACATAAAAAATCAGACAAAACAAACAAAACACGAACACAAACACCAAACACGCGCCCCCCGACACCTAAACCCTCCACAAGCGCCCTACAAAACACCCCACAAAACACACAACAGACAGACAAAACCAAACAAGTCCCCCCGGTAATCTTGCGAAAGCAAGAACGGTGGACACAAGTACAAAAAATACTCACGACACTTAACATTAACTATACAAAAGCCAAATTGACTAAAGACGGTATAGCCATATACCCAAACACACCTAATGACCACAGACTATTGACAAAGACACTGACAGACAAAGGCGAGGAGTACCACACCTTCACCCTCAGCGAAGAAAAAACGCTGAGGGTGGTGATACGCGGAATACCTGCGGGTGTTTCGCCAAGTGAGGTCCAACTCGACCTCGCAAGACAAGGGTTCCCCGGCGCAATAGTGCACCGCATGGCGAGCCGTCAAAATAAACAGGAAATGCCCCTGGTCCTAGTTCAGGCCCCACAGGACCAGGAGGACATCCTGAAGGTAACCCGCTGCTGCTCGCTCGTGGTTCGAGTAGAGCTGCAGCGAAAGCAGCGGGTTGCCACACAGTGCCACCGGTGCCAGCGGTTCGGCCACGGCCAGACCCGGTGCACAGCTGAGCCAAAGTGCGTAAAATGTGGCGAAAACCACAGCACGCACGTATGCAAAAAGGCCAAAGACACGCCCGCCAGGTGTGCAAATTGCGCCGGGCCACACCCCGCCAGCTATATGGGGTGCCCTCAGTACCCCAAAGCTAAAAACACAAAAACACAAAACACAGACACACACACGACACAAAACACTACACAAACACACAGACAGCCCCTCCTACCCACCCCAAACACAACCCCAGGACGCACATACGCTGACATGACCAGAAAAACACAAAACA